GTTCATTAACTGCTCAGTATGGACGATCCTCTTTATCATCTCCGTACCAATCAGGTTGATCTACACAATGAAAAGGAAAATGTGATTGTCAAATATAGATGAAAAGGAAATCACATGCAAAATAAAAAGCTAAGGCTTGTACCTTTAAAGATAAATGTACAATATCATTCATCCACATTAAAGAACTGTGGTTTTCCAATTTGGACTTCTCAACTGGGCCAATCAATGGTTTCAGCCATACACCATCTTAGCCAGATTTCTTCAGAATATTACCATCCTCAGGAACCTCAATGGTAATTCTTTTCATTACCCTACTGTTACTGGAAGAACCAACTTCAACATGAGAAGTTGTAATAGTAGGGGCAGTTGAGGGAGTCAAAATAGCCACGGGAGAAGCAGTGGTAACAACAACAGGAGTGGGGAACTGAGGATCAACTGGAACAAGTACAGAAAAAGAGGCAAGAGGCGTTTTCTCATAAACAAAGCCGAAGTCTTCATTATCAAACCCATGAGAAAAGTGCTGTTCAGTAGAGTCACGGGGTACAACAGGCATCTCTTTATCAGAGCTCACTAAGGTAGCACCTTTGGGCTCGTGCATGGGAACAGAACTGGGGGAGGAGTAGCTTCGTCATCTGAAATGACACGTCTCCTAGCTCGAGACTTACGAACTAACGAGCCTTTATCCCATTCCTCTTCACCCTCGGAACTGTGTGCTCTATCAATTTTTTTTGAGGAACTCAAGATCATCTATTGAACCATCGATAGAGAGAGTCTCGAAGCGGCAATAGATGTGACACTCACACCTCGAATGGGAAATCCTAGTAAAGAAAGGAGTTAGTAAATTTTTTATGGAAGTAAGTTAGAAAGTAGAAGAGAAAGATACCATGAGTCTTCACTTTCCAACCAAACCTATTAGAAAGGTACTTCCAGGACCTTTCTTCCATATGAGCAATAGTTAATAATGTTTCTACCCAACCACGGACGTTTGAAATCTCTTCAACAGCTTCCATGTTTGCTAAAAAAAAAAGAGGAAAAGAAAAACAGTCACGAGATTGCAGGTTCTTCACAAAAAAAAAAGAAGAAGAGAAGGAATAAATCTAAAAAGAAACTTACGTGCAAAGTTCCACGTTTTTGGAAAAGGCATGCTCTCTTCACCCACTAACCTACTTGTGGGAGCAGCAACGAATCGGGCATACCAACCACGATCCTTGTCATTTTCAGGGCTAACTAAAACTCTCTTACTCCTGGCCACGAGAGTAAAAACCTCAGAACGAAATAACTTGGGGGAATAAAGATGAATCAAATGATAGAAGGTAAAGGGTAAAGTGGCTAAATTTGACAAGTATCTCAAGCATGACACAGCTCTCCATACAATAGGTCAATTTGTCCTAAGCAAACATTGAAAAAACGACAAAATTCTATGATGACTGGGTCGATAGGTGGTCTGAAGCCTAATATAAAGGGATATGTATAAATAAAAGAATAACCAGCTTTGTATGAAGTGATCCTTTGATTTGCATTAGGGACTAAAATTGGGAAATCGAATTTCCAATGACATTCTTTTCGCACAAGAGAAATCAAGCCCTCAGAAATCTGGGAAGGGTAAACATCAGCACGATCATGAGAAGTCATGGAAGTAACTTGATTTCTAATCGATTCTCTATCAGTAAAGAAACTTTGGGTCGAGAAATTCAAAAACGAGCAAATGATGGAATTAGATTGGATGAGACCGAAGAAGGAGGTATAACTGCTTTTGCCTTAGCGCAATCCTCTCTTGTTGCGCATGTTAAGGCTAAGCAAGACGAATATCCGTATTTAGTGAAGTTAAAAGAAGGAGTCAGAAACAAAGAAATCACTGCTTTCACTCTAGGAAGTGGCGGAGTTTTGAAGTTGAATATCGATTATGTGTGCCTGATATAGATGGTCTTAGGAATGCCATAATGGAAGAAACTCATAGTTCGAGGTACTCTATCCACCCAGGTGCTACCAAAATGTATCTGGACTTGAAAGAGTAGTATTGGTGGAAAGGCATGCCAGATAGCCTTTAGTATAATGATCATAACGTTTTTTACAAAACTCCAAATGTTGAATGGTTTGACTTTCTGAAAACTAAACTCCAAAGGCTATAACTTTCATTTGTTGCTCATCTCCCAATTCCTTATAAATTATGAGATATAAGCTTCCAAAGTCAGCCCTGTGCAACAGAGATTTCCAAACTCTTCCCGGATAGTCTATAATATATCCACCATAACCTTTAGTACACAACTCCAAATGACAAATGGTTTACCTTTCTGAAAACTAGACACAAAGAGCTACAATTGTCATTTTTGGATCATCTCCAAAATCCTTATAGATTATGAGATATGAGCCTCTAAACTCAGACGACGAACAACAAAATTTCCTTCTTCGCGAACGCGAAGAACAAAGTCCTAACATCAAAATCCTTCTTCGCGAACGCGAGAGGCTCCTCGCGAACGCGAAGAACAACACCAGAACCAGCAACCAGTAGCATCAAAACACCCAAACTTGGTCCGGAATAATCCCGAATCAAACCCGAGGTCCCCGGAACCCCGTCCAATCGTACCAACCAGTCCCAATAAAGCAAGTAACAGATTATGTGGCTAAATATTTGAATTGCCAGCAAGTCAAAGCCGAGCATCAGAGGCCTGGTGGCCTAGCTCAAGATATAGAGATACCACAGTGGAAATAGGAGATGATTAATATGGATTTCATAGTAGGTATACCTAGCACATACCGTAAGCATGATTCAATTTGGGTTATTGTAGACCGACTGACAAAGTCCGCGCATTTCCTACCAGTAAAGACGACATATTTCGCAGAGCAGTATGCGTAGTTGTACATCAAAGAAATAGTCAGATTGCATGGTACTCCAGTTTCAATCATATCTGACAGAGGCCCTCAGTTCACGGCACAGTTTTGGCAGGCATTTCAAAAAAGATTAGGTACCCAGGTCAATTTGAGCACCGATTTCCATCCACAGACCGATAGTCAGGCAGAAAGGACCATTCAGACTCTTGAAGATATGTTGCGAGCATGTGTTATAGATTTTGGAGGTAATTGGGATGATCGCTTGCCACTTATAGAATTTGCTTACAATAACAGCTATCAGGCCAGCATTGGTATGGCTCCTTATGAAGCGTTGTATGGGCGAAGATGTAGATCTCCAGTGGGTTGGTTTGAACCAGCAGAGGTGCAGTTTATTGTTCCAGAGTTTGTTTGTGAGGCCTTAGATAAAGTCCAGCTAATAAGAGAAAGATTGAAAGCGGCTTAGAGTCGTCAAAAGTCCTATTCTGACAATAGGCATCGTGACTTAGAGTTCATGGTTGTTGATAAAGTGTTTTTGAAAGTTTCACCAATGAAAGGAGTTATGAGGTTCGGTAAGAAGGGGAAACTTAGTCCTAGATTTATTGCACCTTATGAGATTATAGAAAAGAAGGGAAACATGGCTTATGAGCTAGCGTTGCCCGTTGAGTTGTCCTCTGTTCATCCTGTCTTTCATGTGTCTATGCTTAAAAAGTACATTCATGATGAGTCGCATATAATACCTGTTGATACCATAGAAATTAAAGAAGGCTTGACTTATGAAGAGGTACCTATAGAAATTCTTGACAGGCAAGTAAGAAAGTTGAGAACAAAAGATATAGCATCGGTAAACGTTTTGTGGAGTAATCATGATTCAAAAGAGGCTACATGGGAGGTCGAGGAAGATATGAGGAAGAAATATCCATATTTATTTGAGGAAAAAGGTATGTGAACCTACGTTTGGTTTGGCATTTATATTTTATTTATTAAATACAAGTTAGCATGTGTTTATGTCCTTGTTAGATTATACTTAGTTGTTAAAGAAATTTAGTTTCTGTTAGAGTATATTTAGTCATTTAATAATTTAGTGCCATGCTATAGTATATTTAATTTATTAAAGTTATTTACTTTTTGCAGAAGTGTTGTGCTTTAGACTTTGGTTGGTTATTGTAGTACCTCCTTGCCGGAGTGTGAGTAATTAGTTTATGAGTTGTGTATGGTGCCTATGAATGACCTGTTATGGTATATTTAGTTGTTGTTGGTGTAGTTGTGGTATTGGTGACATGTATATTTTTTTGGATACTCCAATTTACAGGGAAGACTCTGCCGAAATTTTTGAAAATTTAGGGAGTTAGCCAAAATTTTGAGTCCATTGAAAAAGTGAGTAGTGCTAAGAAAACTTAAAAAGTTCAAGGACCTAAGGAATGATTGTTAGCTTAAGAGTAAGGCCCTAGCAATATTCGAGGACGAATGTTTTTAAGGAGGAAAGATTGTAACACTCCTCAAATCTATAAAAGTTTCAAGATACGATAAATATAGAATTGAAATTCTTTTCCCTTAAATTATACTTCTATTACGAATTTAAACCCTTGTAATTTACTTTTGAGTTACTTCTCTATTTATAAATAATTGGATATACAATTAGGGGAATATTAATAATTTTAATATTATTAATTTTTAACAATGGGTATAATTAAATACTAGTTAAGTCAAAAAAAAAAAAAGAGAAGGCAATAAAACAAAAAAAAGGGAGTCACGTGACTAACCCATAAAGTAGGTATTGAAAGGAAAACAAAGGGCTTAATGCCTTTAAGAAAACAAAAAGCATTCTGTTTCTCACATACACAAAAGGCTTAAAGCCTTAATCGAACAAACCTCTGTTCATTCACACGCGGAAGGCTAAAAAGCCTAATTCGAAATAGAGAAACAGAACATTGTTCTTTTCACGAAGCAAGTACAAAGGCTACGGAACTTACACACGTAGGCAACGAAAATTCTAGGGTTCTTTACAAATCACTAATTCTTGAACTCAGGTGTATAAAATTCCCTATTGTCAATTATCCTAAAGTAGTGGTAGGTAAGAATTGAATAGTTAATTCCCTTCTTTCTCTGGATCAAAATTAAATTTCATGTTTAGGTGTGAAACTTTGAAATTAATTAAAATGCATTGGTTGTATAGAATCAATTGTTTGACGGGTATAAATTGGGCTGGGGCCTGCGTATTAGCTCAAGGAGTTTTGAGGTGAGTTGATATAACCCTTTACTAAATTGGTTTAACTCACAAAAGCACACATACAAGGTGTTTGATGAATTGAAGTTTAGATGATTTATTATGATATATGTACATAAATTTTCAGATTTTTGTGTTATTCTTATATGCCATTTTCATGTTGAAAATTTATGAAGAAGCAAGAATCTTTAGAAATACTTTTGAATGTTTATTTCATTCTTATGTCATGCTTTACATTTAAGGATACCAGTATGAGTATGTATAGGATGTTCCAAAAAATATTTAGACTTGAAAAGTCACAAGAAGAAGTTTTAGAAAGAAACGATTTTTGGGAGTATCCTTTATTCTGAGAAGGGGTTATCGTCTAGGCCGAGGGTCCTGACCAAGGCGTTGACTTCCTGAAACTACTTGTGCCAAAGTAGGGAGCACACGATCCGAGGGTCTCGTTGCTGAGAATTTACTTAGTCGGGGTAAGGTATGATACATGAGCGCTGAGAACCATGAAGCGAGTGGCACCTCGTGGATTGGGCCTATTCGATCAGGTTAGGATCGAACCCGTGCCGATTACACGGTGACTAAGACAGAAATATGTCAGGATAGTTGGAACTCCCAAAGTATAAAAGTGAAGTATTTTTTTTATAAGAAAAAAAATAAGAGAATTTCTTTTAGAATATTCATAAACTGCTATTATGCAATTATTTTTGAATTGTTCTTATAAGCTTTATGTTTTACATGCATTTAGAATCTTTGCTCGTAATGTAAATGTTATTAAAGTTTCGTCCCCTATCGTTGAGACTCACTGAGTTTAATGGATGGTACTGACGTTCTCTTTTGGGAACCTACGTTGGTCTGCGGTACAACGTAGGCATCGATTTTGCAGGCGAGAAGGCTACGGGTTAGGACTTCCCTCACTTCTAGTGCTATTAGTGAGCTCCGCTTTTGTTCGTGGAGTACTCCTTTGAGTCGTCATTATTTAGCTATTTCTTTGTTTACTTAGAGAACTGGCGAGGAAATCTCATGTCCTGAGCAGTGCGTCAGTTTATCAGTAGAGGCTTCATAGACACAGTCGGTGGGTTAAGATTCAAGTGTTTTTAATAATAAACTTGTAATATTTCAGTAGTTACTACGAATAACGTTTTGAAGTTGGTTTATTTTGGATATTTAAATTAATTAAAAGTATTTGGTTACAGTAGTGCCTTGTGGCATATAAAGTTTGAAGTTATGATAGATTTGATAAGCGCAGATGGTTCGCTCGATCATGTTTAGTGATCGGGTGCCGGTCCCGGCTTGTTTAGAAAATGGGTCGTGACAACTATATAAGTAAAGGACACGGACGAATATATGATCTATTTAAAACTTTATTAAAATTGAATAAATAATTATCCATAATAAATGCTATATTCAAACCAAATCTATATCCATAATAATACGAGGCATATGGATAGCCATGATCTTTTATTTAAGATGAGTAAAGGATGAAGAGAAATTTCGAGTAGTTCTCTAGTTTTGTGGATAGCTGTGATGGTGTGGAACTTCTCAAAACATGTTTATATAAGCAAATGGAAAGTCGTAAAATCTCATGACTTGTGGTGAAGAGCCATTTGGGTTGGACATCAGTGGTAAAATCTCATAACCACATGGTCCTGTCGTTCAACTAATTGACATGATTAATTACTTCAGCTAATATAAGTTCAAGAACAATAGGTCCTACATTTTTCTCCTACATGGAACAAAGGATTTCTTAGAATCAAATCCATAAATATGATGTGGTGCCATATGATGATTCATTGGACCAAAACATACCCCAGATGGAAACTNGGTTCCCAAAAGCTGCAGCCCTTGTACATGTTGAGCTGGAGACGCCAGAGAATGTTAACAGCAGCGTAGTTGCATATAACAGTTCGATTCTATTCATCCTTTGTCTAACATGAAAAAGTACAGATTTCGGCCACTTTAGGCTTAATTCTGGCTCATAAATGGTTAACACATGAGGCTTGAGCACAAGTATTCTATGCGATGAATTATGGAAACATAAGGAGAGAATATTTCGATACTACAAAATGGAACCATCAATTAAAAAAGGTTCAATACTTCAATTTCTTTGAAGTAGAAAAAAAAAAACAAGTCATTACTGACATGGAGTAACAGTCGGTCTTTTTGGAGCTAAAGTTCACTAATCTACCTAGTCAGATAGTGGTAATTCTCCTCATTCTAGCATCAAAAATTGTTTTCTTTGTACAGAATGTATCCTGCTTTGCTACTCTACAAATTGTGAAAGCAAATTTCTTTATCAGTTCCTTAAACGAGAAGTGAGGTCGACGAAGACATCCTCAGTGCAGGGAATTGTGATACCACCCATTGGATGATCGAAACCAAATTCTTCCTCAGCTTGACAGAGCAATTCTTGAAATAAAAGTTGGCTCAAGAATGATATGGGGATCACAAATCTCTTCTTCTGCTCTTCCCCAATATATACAACAAAATATCCCTTGGGAACATCTCCAGATGTGGAATACTTCAAGACAATAGCATCTGAAGTAACATGGTTTTGCCTTCCAACTAATTGTCAAAGTATTCATATCTTTAGTCCATATAAGATCAATACATCAGGCCCTACCTTTTGTCTGAAGTTGGAACATAGCATTCATCACAATCTAATTTCCAAATAAGAGATGTAACCTAATTGTGATTATTCACTTCCAAATATACACCTACACATTTCTTGTCATTGACAAGATGGAATATCCATAACAACATAACAATAGGACAAAGGGAAGTGGGATGTTTCACTTGCTTCCTAGCTTGGTCCTGAACCTAATCCAGAACATTTGGCTACTCTCATAACATCTATTAAAAATATCACAATTCTTAGTTGATTGGATATACCAAAAATTCTATTATGAAGTATACTTTGGAGGAAAAAGCCGTGGAAACAGCCACTTACAGAAATGCAGGGTAAGGCTGCATACAATAAACCCTTGTGGTCCGACCCTTCCCGAACCCCGCGCATAGCGCGAGCTTAGTGCATCGGGCTGCCCTTTACTTTGGAGGAAAAACTTATATGCCAAAAATATATTTTGTTGAAGTATTTAAAACACATATAGTTATGGGTTTGGATTCAATAACTTGCAGCAAGCAACATTAGTTACTTCTAGATAGCCACAATTTTAGGGAACCATAGAGTAAGTACAGTTGTGCTAATCCATCCTTTTAGATCTGATGATTAAAACTTTTCAGATCAGAATTATAGTAAACTAAGCCAAAGATTTGTTTTAAGAAGAGTGGAGAAGGAAAATGTCTGATGGAATGTGATCTAATACTGTTACTTCATTGATGTTATGAAATTTCTATTGCAGATACAAAGTTCTCTTTGTTTCCATGCCCAACAGATAAGGTGTCTTCTTCAGAAGCTCCAATTTTCATGTTATGGGTAAATGGAGTCATGTAATTAAGAAATTTCTCCAACAAGAACATTGAAAAACCAATTGGCTAAAGGATGGATCTGAACAGACTTCATTTGCTAAAGAATATGATGCTTAAATCTTTACAAAATTTCATTCAATTGGGATCTACTGTTGCAGCTAACAGTAGCCCCCCTCTATCTAATTTTCAGTGATATCATATAAATGGTGTCTTTTCCTAAATCTTCTAATGTACAAACTGGAAGTCCAGGTTAGTTCTTTACAAAACTGTGAAAGCAAAAGCCTCAGATCCTACACAAGCGAGAAGTAAGATCAACGAACACATCCTCGCTACAGGGAATTGTGAGACCACCCATTGGATGATCAAAGCCAAATTCTTCCTCAGCTTGGCTAAGCAAGTCTTGAAATGCCGGTTGACTCAAGAATGATAATGGGATCACAAATCTCTTCTTTTGCTTCTCTCCAACATAAACAGCAAAATGTCCCTTTGGAACGTCTCCAGCTGCAGAAGACTTCTTGATTATACGAGGCATACGGATAGCCATAGTCGTTTAGTTCAATATAGTAGATCGATGAGCAAATAGGGAAGATAATAGTTACTAGTAAGGATCTTGAAAGCAGAGGAAAGATTTGAATGGTTTCAAATTTTGCTGAGTGCTGTGGGGGTATAGGCTTTCTTTTCATGTGTTTATATAGATAGGGCAATGACAAGTTGTAGAATCCTAGTAATTCGCATTGAATAGGCCTTATGTGGGCACCAACTTAAGACAATAGCACCTGAAGTATCACATGGCTTTACCTTCCAACTCATTATCATACTATTTAGACTTTGGAATTAGTCTAAAGCAGAAGGCCCCACTGAATTTCACAACAAAGAACAGATTCATGTAACCTCATCTTCTTGAAAATGGTACACTTAGGGACCACTGAATTTCACAAGAAGTTGTAGCCAGAATTCCAATGAATGATCATAAAATACGAATCTATAAAGGCATATCCTAAAAACTTTAGACAAAATCTGATCATCCATAGTGGTAAAGCGACGGCTCAGGGTCGAAGTTGCTTCTTATGACCAAAAACTAGTCTTATGGTTCCAACTAGTGCTGCAGTTGAATACTTATAAAATGGCAAAATTTGCATGGTTTATTACTTGAAATAATAGAGAATTGGATAAAGTTAGAATATTTCTCCAGATTCATTTATCAATAAGAAGGTCAAATAAGAGCAAAACTAACCAGTGTCTACTTAAGTTGTGCCACTGCTGAGCAAGTGTGGACCTCAGCACTAACTTTGTGGGAAACAACCAAGAGAAGAAATGTCTGAAGAATATTAGAAGCTTATATCTAAAGCGGTGTAGCAATTATGATAATGGACTGGTACTAATCCACAAGAATAGCATGCTGGCTTAAACTTGTCAAGAAAAATCATTTGGCACAGCACACCTTGAATTGATCAAATTTTATAAATAGAATGATGAGTTGACTTTGAACAGCACTTTTTTTGAATTGAGAATCTAAATTCATATATAACCTAAGATCAAATATGTGCATTCTTTCCAGTTTACCCGGCTATCCTCTTTGCACTTCCTTGTTTTTCAATATTTTCAAGCACACAATACTGAAATTTCAATAATCTTAATTAAATAGTTTAATTTTGTCGTAAGGAGTTTTCAAATGCTTGCACCATATCCACTAATTCCTCAGTTAATATAACCTTACATGAAAATGCAGAAGCTCAATTTGAAGTTAGAAAGAGAAAGCATCTTTGTTTAGAGGCATAATAAATCCTGTTTGGTATACTTCTCTTTGGTTAATCAATTTCCCAGTCATAACAAGAAGCTAAGAAATTGCTGAAATACTAATTTTGTGAGAGCAGACTGGTCCAGGACATTAATTTGAATTTGAATCTGGTCCAAGCTGAAAAATAAATAGAAAATCTTAGTGTTAAAAAAAGTTGATTATGAAACAATGCGCATCCACTTATGAAACAAAGCATTTGGTATACTAAACCATTTTCAAGAAGATGAATCTGAACCAGGTTTCATGAATCTGTTCTTAAAACTTATGCGCATTATTAACTACTGATTCAGGATTATTATCTTTAGGAAAACAAAGCTCTTTGCATTTGAGCTTCGCATGTTAATAGGAAACTGTGGGGCAAGCACAGTAGCTTTTATCACATTATCTAGTTATTTTTATTATTCAGTTAGATTTGTTACTTCTCAAATACTGCAGTTGAGCCACAAGAAAAAAGACTTATTGTTGTATTTCACTTGATTGATAGCAAACCGTGAGACTTGAAAATGTGGAACCATAAGGAGAAAATACCAATGTAACTGAATGGAGCCAATATTAATTAATTGAAAAGATTCATCACTTCAATATCTTTGAAGTAGAAAAAAGTAAAGAGTCATTTGTTTCTTTGACATGGAATAATGATCAGGCTTTGAGGAGATAAGTTAACTAATCTACCTAGTCAGATGCAACATTCCTCGTTCTAACATCAACTACTGTTTTTTCTAACACCTAAACTTTACAGACTGTGCAAATCCTGCTTTACTTTTCTTTAAAATTGTGAAAGCGAGTCTCCGTTTCAGTTCCTCAAACGAGAAGTAAGATCAACGAACACATCCTCGCTACAGGGAATTGTGAGACCACCCATTGGATGATCGAAACCAAATTCTTCCTCAGCTTGGCTAAGCAATTCATGAAATAAAGTTTGGCTCAAGAATGATATAGGGATTACAAATCTCTTCTTCTGCGTCTCC